GAAGAGCGTGGAGCTCTTCTACCTCCACGCCCCTGACCACGGGACCCCGGTGGAGGAGACGCTGCGTGCCTGCAATGAGCTGCATAAAGAAGTAAAAGGGGGAAGGCCGTGCCTGGACACCTCTTAATTCCTTCCTATCTCCTTTTTTAAATCAGGGCTGCTTGTTGTGCCCTTCAGCCCAGGGGTTGCACAACAGTAGGAAAAGGGAACGCAGATGACTGGGGAAGGCCAAAACAACTGCTGTTCTTCTGCTTGTTCATGTGATGCACTTTGTTCTCAAGAGCTCCTGCAAACGTTAGAACGTTTGAACTTTGCTTTCCGCTGTATAAACTCGCTAGGTTAAACTTAGTGTCGGTAATGGGTGAAGAAGGGTTCATTTTCTTAATCAAACATTCATTAAATTGTCATTTAAATCAGACAAACGCCATTTAAAGTAGAAGGTGTGACTTAAAATAGGGGAAATGTTTTTGTCGGATCTTATAGTTCATCTTCATCTGGAAGAGGTAAACAGGGATGAACAGCTCTGGGGATAAAAATTTGGTGGCTCTTTTTCTTGCACCACGTATGTACAAACATGCTCCTTGAAACTGGAATTAAATACCCTTTTATTCTTTTACAGGGAAAGTTCAAAGAACTCGGTCTCTCAAACTATGCGGCGTGGGAGGTAGCAGAAATCTGCACCATCTGTAAACACAACAACTGGGTGGTCCCAACTGTGTACCAGGTGAGGGATGTGGGCTTGCCACGGTCCAGCATATCTTTTGTGGAGGCTGAGACGAGTCAACCGCAAAGAATCTGAGGCTTCAGATCAAAACAGCTGATGGCAGGTTACCTGTGTTGTTACAGTGACATGTGGTCAGGCACCGTGAGGTAGGGTCTGGGAGTCCCAAATCTTGGAACAGACCCCAACGTGCCAGATATAAACACAGAGCAGGAAGCTGCTGCAGTTAGTCTGGGAAGTCCTTTCAGGACACACATGATTAGAAAGTGGAGTGAGGTCACTTCTCAGATAAAGCTGAGTATGTGCTTGTTGTCTGTGTCAGTCATTGATGGCTCCCTTAATATGGAACTTAAAGTTTTTGCATTATTGAGCAATAATTTAGAGGATCTGTTGCTAAGTTGCATAACCTCCTATGACCTGAAGCCTCTCTGTTCTGATCCCTTCTGGATGAGATAAAATATTGTTAGGCAAGAGTGGGGAAAAGGCTGTCCCAGCTCCTTTGGTGCACCATTGATAAAACTGCAATTCATGGATTGGGGCACTCCCCCACTCTTCAGTGGGAGCTAGCCTGCAGGTATTCAAGCTTTGCAATTCTGACAAGGCGTTTTGCTGCTGCAGACCTATTACTTTTTCAGGATTTGGTGAAAAGGTTAAACAGACCTGTGTTTTCCCAGACTATGTATTTGGTCATGAGGACAAGTCCCAGAACGCTAGGCTGCGTTTCTGAGCAGAAATTAAGATGACAGGAAAAGCAGAACAAAGCGCAGAAATGCATTACTCTCAGCATTAACTACTTTGTTGCTGATGTGTGCAGCTCAGACCTGGTGTCACTGCTATATCATACCTTCGTACCGTCTGATAAGCGGATGTGAGTCATGGCTTTCTAGCCAGGATTTGTGCCAGGAGGCCTGAAGCTATTCTGTGCAAATGACCACTGTTGCGAGCTAGTGTTTGAAGTTCTTTGTCTCCTTCGTATTTGTGGCAGGGCATGTACAATGCAACCACTCGCCAGGTGGAGACTGAGCTGTTTCCTTGCCTGAGATACTATGGATTGCGGTTCTACGCCTACAATCCGCTCGCTGGTATGGGGAGGGATGGGCGAGGGTGAGGAGCTGCGTGTGGGTCAGGCAGGCTGGGAGGGACAGGGCTACGGTACACCAAAAAGAGCCAAGAAATTGTTCTTAACAAAAGCAGAGGGCTGCAGGCTTTGTACATGTCAGAGCTGTCGGGCTGCTGCTTTGCTCCAGCTGTAGACTGATTTTGTGACTCAGAACTGGAGACGGCAGTTGTCATTGATAGATTACAAGGGTGATTGATCAGGGATCGTTTTTACATCTGCGAATTGCAACAGCCACGTTTGGTCCGTTCCTTCCTTGGCCTCCAGGCCAGGGCTGCTGGACAGACCCTGCACGTAGAGCTGTGGGTGGTCATGGAGGCTTTGAGAGTAAAACTCGTGAAATGCAGGCTATAAAAGAGCCAGCCCATCACTAACGTGTTGCTGACCCTTTGCAGGAGGGCTGCTGACAGGGAAGTACAAGTATGAGGACAAAGACACAAACCAACCCCCTGGAAGATTTTTTGGGAATGACTGGGCTCAGGCCTACAGGGACAGGTATGTTTTCAGCCGATAGAAGAGCAGGGAGATGGGGCAGGAATGGCTGGCTGCGAACCAAAGAATCAGCCAGGAAGAAGCAAGAATTGACCAAAGCTTGTCCAGTGATTATGTTTGCAGGCTTGCATCCTCTCCAGGCTGGTGCAGGGCAGCCTTTATGCTGCCCCTGTTTAAGACTTGGGTAACGGTGCTGAGCATCTTCCTCCTTTTGAACGTGGTTGGGGCCACGGCTTGCCTTTAAGCTTTGTGGAGTGGCTTTTAGGCTCAACTTCCTCCCAACTTACTGTGAAGTCCTTGAGACTAGGAAGAGCTGGATGAGGTTTTTTTGAAAGCCTTCTCTACTTGCTGGGAATACAGAAGTGAGATTCATTAGAGGAAAGCAGAGGTCTCAGGGGCAATAACATTCATTTCTCTTGTTGCAGATACTGGAAAAAGCACCATTTTGAAGCAGTTGCCCTGGTAGAAAGAGCTCTAAAGGATACTTATGGTTCCAATCCACCAAGCCTGACCTCTGCTGCTTTGCGTTGGATGTACAATCACTCCAAACTTCAGGTAAGAGCTTTGATGCTGCTGCAGACAGCAGTCTGCGCAGCAGCACCAGAACTGGGCAGCTGGTTGCGTCTGTTTGCAGAACATGAACTGGGAAATGACTGTGTACTAACAGTTATCTTTTCAACTATGTGTCCCATGGGCTTGTGGCGCTCCAAAACGAGCACTGCTATATAGTCTGTGCTTGCCAGGCTGTTGGGACTCGGCCAGCTATAAGATTGAGACGGCTTTACCTTTCCTCGCCCTAACTTGTGTTCATGGGACTGGAAGAAGGTGGAAGATTTTAAGTGCCAGTTGCTATGGTCTTGGCTTCCCACCCAGACAATTTCCCTGTGAGAAGATAACTTGGCTTTTCACTGGACTATGAAATTAATGTTACGTTCCCCATCTCCCGCAAACGTCCCTCTGGCCACCCAAAGAGTAGGAACTGGCAGCTTTTGAGGAACTGCCATATTGCAGAGATGGCAACTTGAGGAGTTCTGGCCTTATAAGCAGAACTTCATTGTGTCAGTTGTCGAAACATCCAGTAGTTACTGCTGTACTGCGTTGCTCGAAAGAAAGGCTTAAAGATTGATTGGCCTGCAGTGGCTCAGGAGGTGAATTAGGTTTCTTTCGGGACGTGCAATTCTTCTTACCGCTTTACAGGGATCCCTTGGAGATGCGGTGATCATTGGCATGTCCAACTTGGAGCAGCTAGAGCAGAACCTTGACTGCAGTGAAGAGGGTCCTCTGCTCCCGGCTATAGTGGAAGCGTTTGATAAAGCCTGGAACCTCACTGCACACGACTGCCCCAACTACTTCCGCTAGAAGTTAGGGCAGGGAGAAGAAAGTTAGTGTCAAGGGGCTAGATAATCAGATCTGCCAGGGCCTCAACCACATGTCTTACGTCTGCTGAACGGAAGAGGTGCTTACCCACCCTGCCCTCTGATCCACACCACTGGATTGTGATCTTCCTATGTTAATCATACTTTGTAGGGTCAGCCTTTCTTGTACCTACGTTAACACTATTGGCACTTGTCATGTGGGCCGTGCCTTATTCTTTCTCATGCACCTTCACTTCTGCACAGTGTGTATTATGATTTAAAGATGCAGTTGATACAGGAAAGCGATTATGTAACACAGTGAAGGCCATGGTTCTTCTTTCAGTTAATACGGTACCTTAACTTTTACATAATGATCTATGTACATGAATAAAGCCTCCTACTAATGCAGACCTTCCTTCTTAATTGTAGCATAGCTTGTGGTTTATGTTGACACAGCTCGATCCAGCTGCAGTGGCAGCTAGGAGCCCTGTGACTGGGGAGCTAGTATAGGCACAACAGAGCTACCTTCGTTCTGGAAGGGACTTTGGCCAAGCCCTTGGACCTTTATTTCCTATATCCCAGCTGTGGGCCTAAGCATACCTGAAAAGACTAGAGCCAGCCTTGAAACAGTTAGGCCTGCTGAAGCTGGCCTGAGCTGACAGGAAACCTGCGGCCAGGACGGGAGCCGGTGCCACTTTGTGAAGTTGAACATCAGATAAAAGAGCCTTAATTCATTTGGCCAGCCGGAGGTGGTGTATTAGAGGTGACACCCTTCCTCTTTGTTACATAAGCTTAGCTGCTCAGCACTGTCTACATGACTTCCCTTCAATCTGTCAACATCAGGAGCTGGACCAGGAGACACAAGTTCAGATTAAAAAACCAAGCTCAGTCTCGTTGAATAAGGAATTTCAAAACGTCAGCCTGGAGGCAACACCTTGGGAGTTTGACTGCAACTTCTGTTAAGACAGGTGCCATCTAGCTAACTCCAGGCGCATGCTGCTTCCTTTCACTGTTCCCCAGGTACTGGCACCTCTTATTTCCTACATGATTCCCCCCGCCCCCCCCACAGCGTGGCTGGTCCGTGCACCGTTCACTTCCATACTTCTACTAGGAAATACAGCTTCTGTTCTTTGATAGAGCCCCTGCGTGTGTTCCTTCGGCGCTACTGTGGCTGGCATCTCCTTCTCAGCACGTGGAGACGTTGAAATACATAGATTCTTCTGTATCAGAAGATAAGCGTGACTCTAGCATCTTACCTGGTGTCAGCTACGCTATGTATTAAGTAAGCTGCATCACAAACTACTACAACTTTACTAAGTGGTTAGTGTAGATAGGGACGTTTCTACTTGATGCACCTGCAGGAGCCTTCAGCTCTGCACTCGAGAACAGACTTGGCCGAGGCTATCTAGAGCTAAAATTAATCCTAACATAACAGGAGCCATAAGCATTATGGAGTTGGCTCCGCTGTAAATGTGAAAGTTGACTGTTGAAACAAAAGCGGATCTCCCTGGAAAGCGCCCCTTCTGAGGGACTGCAGCCTCTCTTGCTGCCAAGTAGACTCTTCAGACTTTTGCACCCAGAGATTTGACATATGCTCCGCCTAGCTTTCACCCCTGAGGTAGTCTTTGCTCAGATCCAGTGGTACTCGAGCAGTAACAAGCAGCAGTGACAACAATCCAAGGTTTTATACATAGTTTTATATAAAAAAACATAATTAGGTCATCCTTTACAAAGGACATGTTTGACTTGCTCAGCCTTGGCTTCCTGCTGCAGGCAGGGAAGGAAAACACCTCTTCCTTTGTCTCTGAAATAGAGTAGAACTGTCTAGTGTCCAAAGGCAAGGACTGCTGCTAGTCCTCATTGCTGTCATCCTCCTCCTCTTCCGCCTCCTCCGGGTCTGCCGCAAGCTGCTGGAAGTCTCCCGTCTCCGAGTTCCACAGGAATTTGATGGTCACTTTGAACTCGGCCATTTCATAGCCAAAGAGTTTCTAGGAGAGGACACACACTTATCGGTCATTCCT